TAGCCATCATCATCAGCAAAACTATTAAAACATTTAGCCATCAACGAATGACTTGTGACCTCACGCAAACTATGCTCGTATATCAAATATTTATCCAAGATGTTCCGATAGCAACGATTTTAAGGCGAAATATTTCAAGAACCAAGACAGTGCGCGGTAGTACGAAGGCTCGATAGCGCTATCAAACAAATAATAGTAATTTGTTCAACGGTTAAAAAGCAAAAAACTAGCGATATGAGTTTATGCATGTCTAATATTGTTTAATCTTTTTGTTTTCTCCAACTAATTTAGAGTCAACATTTTAGAGAAACTATTGTCCGTTAATTAGCGCTATCGTTAAAATATTACAATGTCATAAGGTTTTTTCAAATGAGAAAATTGAAAAGTATGTTGCCATCTTTTTTCAATCTGTTTAAAATGAATCTGCAACCGAAAAATATGTAAAACAAACCAGGATATAACTCGGCGAATAGCTTTGTACTGCAGAAGATACAAATATTGTTTTTTACACAATAAGCCTCGTTTCCATGTTGCGGGAAGGTGCGGTTACTAAGTTTCGCAATTGGTCTATGAAATCATTGATAAACAATAACGTGTTAGCGCGTTCCCGACGTGACTGTCTCCGGGAAACTGCCAAATCGGAGTTCATATTGTAGCAAAGAATCCAACCACGCAGAAAACAACTTCAGATGAATTATTTATTGTATATCAATGCGCGGTGAAACTACATTGACCGAAAAGTTATACAGAATTAGTATGAGAAACTTATACTAAGTTCAGATCAACAAGAAATAAGATTAACTTACAACTATTGCCTCCGAAAATCTATAGCAAAATACGATAAATCGCAGAAAAAACGAGGCGAAAACCAAAAACAAACTGTACGTTCAATTAACGTTCCGTTGTCATAGCAACGACTGAGTAGCGCCGTGGGCGCTAATAACCAGGGATATGTCCAAACGACCCTTATTATCACGGGCTTACATCACAGTGTCAGTTGCTTCACCTTGGTCCAGGGTTCCTCGATCGAGGTAACTCTATTGAGTTCGGTGGTTGTGGTCTTATTAAAATTAGCCGATGGATGCAACGCCGAAATAGATGTTTGAAAGCTTCCTTGTATTTTTGGTCGAGAAAGGCGTAAATAATAGGATTGCACAGACTGTTGAACAGCGGGAGGATGCTGAAGACCATTCTAATTGTAAACATCCGATAGTTGTGGTGTATTGAACGGGAATTCGTGTAAAGAAGATTCGGAAAATGGTAGTGAAGTATGACCCAAATAATGTTGGGACCCCAACAAATTATGAATACCCCCACAACGATCATCAACATTTTGATAACTTTCAGGTCTTCATAAAGCGCCGTTCTTTGGCTTCGAATTTGGCCCAGTTCACCATTTCGCCGCATTTTTTGTCGCTTATGCGCCACGAGAAAAATTAGAACGTACATGACCACTATGACTCCAGTGGGGACAAAGAACATGCCGATTATCATAAATGTATAAAAAGATTTCGCTTGATCAAAGTCAGCCTCAGAGCAAGAACTTGCTCCAGAAAATAGGATTCCGATGCTTCCTGAACGTGGTGTGGCTGCGTAGCTGGCAATGCAAGATGAAATCAAAACAATAATGAAAATTAATTTCAGTGATGTGGAAGTTGTCATTCGAGTCATATACTGAAGTGGTTTGCTGATTTTGAGATATCGGTCAAAACTGATGAATGTTAGGGTGTAAATAGATGTTGTTAACGCAAAGGTATCAATCCACACAACAAAACGGCACAGATGAATTGACATCGTACGTTGCGGTACACGGAGATCCAGTTTGTACGCCTTTATTGGTGCTAAAAACAAACCAACCAAAAGATCAGCGACAGCCAGACAAGCGATGAAATATTTATTTGGTTGATGAAGACTTCTTTCTCTCCATGTCGCAACCAAAACCAAAGTGTTTCCAAGAATTGTGAAGACGGCAATAAAAATAAGTATGATTTTTTCTGAATGTTCAAGTTGGTTCACGAATGTTTTTAACTTCATGAGATCGGCTTCGGTCCAATTTCCTTCCTCATTGGTCTGATTTTCAATCATTTTGTTGATCCTAGTTGATAAATTAAGACCACTAGGTGGGACGCACATAAAAATATTTGGGGGAACCAAGGAGTAAGGAATATATTTTACAAGCATATAAGCGTGCATGGGACTAAATTAAATAGCGTAATGCGTAATAGTTAAAGCGTGTGGTTAAAGCTCTAAGGCAGCTTGAGGGGGCAAGGAAATGCTCCCATAGAGAATTTTTGAAGTATAAATGCTTCTCTATGGAGCTGTCTATAATTCGGAAATTCGGCCGATTCGGTAAACCGATAAAACTTAAAGCTTTTTGTTACTGTTTTACTAAAAAATTATACAGGCATATGTAACAATTAATTATTTCCCGAAGGCAAAGGTGAATATCGCTGAATATAAACCAAGATGAATAGAATAATTGTTTTCGTATAGGTACAAAGGTCATTATTTGAAAAACCAATTCGTTAAAATCCAATTTCTAAAAACGTAAATAAATATCTCCACAACTTTTGTTGAGTTTGGCACTTTTTTGCCTCAAAATAATTTAGGGCATTTTCGTCCGCTTTTTCATTAATTGTTTTAGAGTTTTATATAGGTACATAATTTTCTTCAAATTACTGATTTCTTCACTTTGACAGAAACAACTCGCAATCATTTTAAAAAATCGGTGATTATCGCGATTATTTAGTGCAAATAATGCCTTTCGAAATTTAGCAGAGTAGACATCTTTTCCGGTGCGGCTTTTCACTTATACTGGTTTCTAGTGACTTTTTTCGACCCATAAAGGTTTGCAAATAGCGCTTCACGCACTATATGTAACTGTTTTGAATCGGACTTTTTGAGGTAATGCTCTTTCTCCAACCTTCTCTCAAAAGGCTCCTCTGAATAACGTAAACTAACAGCTGTTTGGAATGCGATATATTTATAATGGTGGATTTCCTTTTAGTGTAAATTGTCAACTATCATCTATTTAGTTTTCTTTTGAATGCAGCGTGGAGTCACGTTAATCTAATGAGTTTTTTTGCCTCGCTTGACTTTTACAGAATCAAAAAGAATTCGCGGTCGTCCTATATGACGTGATCATATGTATATAATACATTCGTGTTTGAATCGAGCGAATTTTGGTAATTTGTTCAACTATCATCTATTTAGTTTTCTTTTGAATGATGCGTGGGGTCACGTTTATCTAATGAGATTTTTGCAGAAAGAATTCGCATTTGGCCTATATCACGTAATCATATAAGTAATACATTCATGTTTGAATCGAGCGAATTTTGGCGATTGCGCTGGGAAGCTCGATATCATAACCGAATACGTAAGCAAGGCGCCGCCCTGGTGCAAAAAATGTCGCTATAGAGAAAATCCGTCTTCAAACCGAAAGCAATATTTTTAGAGCTCTCAACTGCAACCATCTGCATGGGCTGGCAAGTTACACAAAGACAAAATAATAAATTCGTATTCGAATCATGCGAAAGTCTTACTATAGTGAAAAATAAAATTGGTGCCACATCTTTGTTGATCGACTTACCTTGTACCTTTCTACTTCCTCTGTCAATTCCTCAGTCTCTAGCTCTCCTTTATGCCTTTTAAGTTCAATAACCAAATTGTGCTATATGCTAGATTAACTTGTATTTAGGTTCTTACAAGGAACACTTTAATAAAGTTAAATGCTTTACAATTTTTCACAATGCGTTAACGTCCAGTTTTACGATTGAAGTTCAGTTTTGCCAATGAATCGGACTTAAAATCCTTGCGTGTACTAAAAAAATTGATATGCTTCTATGAGAAGTTTCCGTCTGAGTATATCACGTATTTCTTTCTAAACACTGTCAAGAATTTTACGAAAACATACAATTATAAAGATATTATTGATATAAGCCGTGCATTTCCATTTTAAATAATCTATTAACTGTACATGTGTTTGCATTTGTGCAACTTTGAAGCTACACATGCAAATAAAGAAAAAATGTATACAAATATTTAATGTCATAGGAAATTTATTTCGCAAGTCAACTGAGCCGAATTTCATGTCTATAAGTTGCTTCAACTTGGACTATAATGACCATTTTAGTTGGCCGCATCCGATGCAGTAGTCCTTTGAACGATAATTCCTGTAAATTAAGAACACTTAAAAAATGTAATCTGCGATAATAATGTTTATATAGTGATCAAACTATGAATACACTTTAATTTCGCTCGCAGTAAGCGCTTGTCATCGGAAGCTCAGTGGGTGTGCTGATTACAATCACGTGCCAGGACTCGACCTTCCTTCATCAGTTCATATCTAAATTTCTTTAAATATTCTTGTTTAAAAGTGCATCGCCAAGGAAAACCATTGTCAAATTGAGATATCACTCGTGATGTGCTTTCGTTATTCTTGAGAAATAGTCAATAATGAAACTAATATAATAGCATGACCAGATATCATACCCTCCAGAAAAGCGATTATATTGTATACTGGTGCTTTACATTTCGCAAAAAATTTTTTTCTTATTATGGTCCAACTTCCTACCCTGTGTCTTGATATGTTTCGTGTCCATAGCAAATAGACCTCAGGTGGCTGGCGCACAACATAGCTGTCATTTCTGGCTATGAACTAAATCAGTTATAATTCGTTTTTCAGTGCAACTAACTGTTTATGGGTATTGGTGGTCTTCTAAACGATTTTTTCCGAAATGTTATTTGCTTAACCAAACGTTTGAACGCTTCTGTGTATTTTTGGTCCAAACAAGCGTAAATAATTGGATTGCATACGCTGTTAAATAGTGGCAGTGTTGTGACTACAAGAGAAAGGATGTCGACACGACGCCAGTAGCTTTCCGAATTGCTTTCCCAGTTAATAAAATCGTAATAGTAATACCACAGCATTGTCCAAACAATCCAGGGACCCCAACACAAAATAAATACCCCAGCAACAATAAAGAGCATTCTTATAACTTTCAAATCTCGTCGTAAAGTTGTTCGTTTTTTCCGCCATTCACGAGCTTTTTGTTTCGCCTATGAACTAAAATGAATATAAGACCATACATAACCAAAATTATTGTATCAGGTAAAAAAAATGCACTGATTGACAAAAAGGTCTCGAAAACTTCTCCTTCATCGCTGCCCGAACAAACACCGCTGCCGGTTGCCAAAAGCCCATGGCTTCCTGAATATGGTGTAGCGCTGTAAGTAGCGATGACGGCTGAGACGAAACCGATGAGGAAAAGTAACTTTTTTGTTGTGGAAGTTGTCATTCGTGTTTTGTACCGAAGTGGCTTGCTGATTTTGAGATATCTATCGAAACTTATGACTGTCAGGGTGTAAATAGATGTCGTTAATGCAAAGGTGTCTATCACGTCATAAAACGACAAAGATGAACAGACAGGAGTACTGATGCTGGCTGATCATAAAGAAGAACGGCATAATAACTCAGCAGTGCGACAAAGATGCCAACCAAAAGATCAGCGGCAGCCAAAAAGGCAACGAAATACTTGCTTGGTTCATGAAGACATTTTTCTCTCCAGGTCAAAATCAAAACCAAAGTATTTCCAAGAACGGTTAATATGGCGATGGAAATTAATAGAATTGGATAGCTAGGAAAACCTGTTTCTCAAATTCCTTTATCGATGATGCCATTGTGACGCTTTCCTCCGTGGTGCTTGCCATCGACATTGCAAAACGTCTTAATCAGTCCTGCGTGAGGAATATATTAAAATGCAGTTAATAGACTTCAATTCTAGGTTTTTATGTGGGCGAATTTAAATTGTAGCCTATAGTAGAAACTGTAATTGATAAAAGGGCATATTTATATCTGAGGTTACCAGGGTCTTCATGGGCGTAACAAAAACCACTGAATTATATGTATTAATATTCCGCTGTTAACTGCCTTCTCCCGTCCCACCGCCTATCTGCTCGTTTTTCGGGTCGACCGTTTTTTCTTTTTTCTGGATGTTGATTCATGACGGTCTATTTAGCGCCCAACCCCCCACCCCCACCCCCTTTGAGGAAATCTTTTTTAATTCTACTTTATCCTTGAGCGTTTTTTGTCTGCTTCTTTTTGTTTTCTTGAGCGTCCTCTCATTTCTATAGTGATTCGCGTTTGACTGTCTGATCACGGAATGGAGAGGATACCGTGTAGGTCAAAACCGAGGACCAGAATGTAGGATGTTCACATCAACGGGACCTAGCTCAATCGCACCGTGTTAGCTACGTCGGGTACTGCGTCTTCATCCATACCGATCGGCAGGGGGCATTGATTATTAGTATATGCTATATTATTGGTAAAGCATTCTCCGAGATCAATAATATATATTAAGTTAAATAAACTTGATTAATATATATGTAATACCCTGGGCGTAATCTCACACAGAAATGTTTAGTAAATATCACATGCAATTATAAATTGTACGCTTATAAAATTCGCTAAATTCCCCGACTATGTTGACATGTGAGAACTATAGGCTTAAATATGATTATATAATTATACGTCACTTACTTTCTATTATTTCTTTGTGTTTTTTTTCAATTTTCGTTGTTGTTGTACTTTTTTTCCTGGTCTTCAGTTGGCTCAACTGAAACATTCGTTCAGAGCTGGATGTTATATACTGAGACAACATAACGTCTTACAGCGTCGAAGACTGATCGTATCATGCAGTTAAATTGCAGTTTTAGAAATATATATTTATCAAACACCTGCATCTCTTCAAACTATTCTCGAACTTGAAATTCATTTCTCACGATCGAAAGCTAAAAACGATTTACAAGGAAATAAAATTGTTTACGAATAAATGTTTCATAGATATTCGCGAGTAAATTGTTGGTTGTGTTAAGTTTTTTTATAATATCTGTCATTGTCGGCGTAGGGTATAAATAAAAAATTCAACTGCCAGTATTATTTTTATTTTTTTTTAACAGCTTGACTGTTGACGCAACACTTACATAAAAGTTTTCATGCACGGGGTGACGTATATCACAAGTCGTAAACAAAAGGCAAGATTTCAAACAATATTCTTTAGTAATTAAAACATGTTAATCGACTATCTATCAAAATATTTGCATGCATAATAAGAAAAATTTTTTAACAAAGATGAACAGGCTTTTTTGATGCTGGCTGGTTATAAAGAGGAAGTGCATATAATAATTCAGCCGTGCGACAAAAATCCAACCCGATCGGTGGCGGCCAAAAAGTTAACGAAATATATGCTTATAACGAATAATACAATTATTGCGTTAGTTTTCACACGATAGGAAGAAATATCAAGCTTCCGGAAGCATGAAACGGCCATTTCTCGTTATCGACAAACTTCGGGTCGATAATTATCCACATCATTTACAACGTCATTCGATAATAGTTAATATATATAGTATATGTATATAGCCACAATTTTGTGCATAAGTTTTTAGACCCAAAAATATATAGGAGAAAAGCAGTTTCCGAATATATTTTTGATGAAACGATATCTGAAGAAGTAGCCACACCTCCTTTAGCAGTATAGGACTATATATACTATAATATATCTATTGAGTATCATGAGTGACTCTTGTAAAAAACCTTTATGTTTTTTAATGGTATGTATGCACAGCTGTTAATAATTCTGGCTCAAGTGGCTCTTTTTTATGGCTGAGTAGAAGCCAAAATTGGATGAAGCTATTGTTAAAAAAAACGCAAAAAAAAAGAAACTTTATTAAAAGAATATCTACAAGGCCGCATAAAGGGAATTAAGCTAGGTAATTCAACAACACAATAGTGGCATTTTCTCAATCGGTTCCACCTGAAATTACTTTAAGGAATCGCATGCACCATTTGTTTTCAATATTCACAGCTAAACAATATAAAAGAAAAAGAATTCTTTTTTAAACTATGAAAATTAAGATACATATAGGACGTCATTTAATAGCTATATCATATATAGTTATCCGTTTATCTACTATAGTTTTCGCGTTTACTTAAAATTATGAAATTAACAATGAAAATTAAAATGCATATAGGACGTCATTTATATCATACATGCAGTTATCCGTTTAACTACATAGTTTTCGATTTTTCTTAAAATTTTGAATCGCTTCATTCACCTTAACATATAGTGGCAACATTTAACGCATGCATGAGCTCATTCAAAGTTGTTGCGTGATGTGTAAACAGCATGACGGATGCAAGTGATGTGATATGAATCATATTAGATGCTTTTTGCGTAACTTATCATAAATGATCAAACATCTTGATGCATACGGCTACGTACATACTTAGAATAATCTATATTTTAGCTTGGTGTGCATAGTTTCACAATAGCCCGCGTGTTTTACAAAAACGAAACGAAAAGACTATATTTTTTACCAAATTTTACGGTCGCAAGAAGATAATACGAATTTTATGTTTATAGCAAAAACAATATCTCATTTGTATTATATTTTGACACTATTGTATCTGCAACTATTTGATGTTTGTGTATGTATGAAATCGACTAGCTTTTACAATAGAAATATACATTTCAGTAAAAAATATTGATGTTATAGACTTGACATCATTTTAAATTTGAAGCCTAATTTTTTAATCATCCTGCCCTTATTAGTGCGAAAGAAAATAGTTTCAATGTCGTTGCGTGATACATAATTGTTATGATCATGGGAAATGGAAACTAAAAATATTTTGATGAAAAGGTATTAAACACTCTTTTAATTTATCCTCCAAAAAATTTAATATTGACCTATACATAATGATGTATATATTCTATACGATACTTTTTGTTATATTTTTTTGATAATTATACATGCATATATATATTTTATATTACATGGTTTCTCTCAATGTTAATATGTTTAGAATTGGTAAAATTATTTTATATAGTAGTATTAGTTGATCTCGCCTAAAACATGCATGGGACATTAAATCTCGATAGTTATATGGCTAAAATACATATACATGCATTCACATACTTTCTACAAAATATATATCATAATTTGAATTCTCTGCGGTATTTCAACTGCTCTAACACTTAAGTAATGAAGATATTAGGAATTTGTCACTGTATATATACTTTTCATATTGAATTTTTACTTTATAATACGAGATAAAATACTTGTCGACATGCAACGACAAGTAAGATTATCTTGTTCTTTGTGGGCGTAGCTCATTAGATGGTGTTCTCGGACTTCTCGTGCTTGAGCTTGGCCAACACACGATTTTCTTAAACAGACGTTTGAAAGCTTCTCCGTATTTTTGGTCTAACGAAGCATAAATGATTGGGTTACACGCGCTGTTGAATAGTGGAAGCGTGCTTGATATAAAAGAAACCAGGTAGATCTGATGCCAATAGCTTGTTGAATTGCTATCCCAGTCAATAAAATCTTCATAATTATGCCACATGAATACATACATAATCCACGGGCCCCAGCAAAGAGTAAAAACTCCAACAACGACCAACAGCATTCTAACGACCTTCATATCTCGACGTAATGCTGTTCGTTGGTTCTGATCGTTGATTGTTTCACCCAGTTCACCATTCGCGAGCATTTTGTTTCGTTTGTGAGCGACAAGAAAAATGAGAGTGTACATAAGAAAGATGATCACGGCTGGAAGAAAGAACGAACTTACAGCTAAAAAGGTTTCGTATTCTTTCCCTTCTCGTGCTTTTGTAGGACAAGCACCGGCTGTGGTTTCCAAGATGCCGTGGCTTCCCGAGTGAGGAGTGGCGCCGTATGTGGCAATGGTAGTTGAAATGAAAAGGATGATAAAAATTGATTTCAATGTTTTGGAAGTTGTCATGCGTGACTTGTACTGAAATGGCTTGCTTATTTTAAAATACCGGTCAAAACTGATGAACGTCAGTGTATAAATCGATGATGTTAACGCAAAATTATCGATCCACTCCATAAAACGACACAAATGAATGGAAATCTGTCCAGTTTGATCAGATAAATATATCTGGAGGGTATACGAGTTCAGCGGTGCCACGAAAATACCAACCAAAATGTCAGCGAAGGCCAGGTGGGCAACAAAATATTTATCCGGTAGATGAAGACTTCTGTCCAACCAGGTCACGACTAAAACCAGAGAATTTCCCAGAGTTGCGACTATCGCGATGAAAATTAACACAACTTTATCGGATAAAAACATTCGCTGGTTGAATGCATCCAGATTGAGGGGCACTTCAGTGGTGGTGCTTGTCTCACTGCTCCAGGGAATGGAGTTTTTTATCGTGCCAGTAAGGTTTTCCAACGACATTGTTAACCTTGTTTCTAGGTCATAAATTACGGCAATTTAAGAGGTTTGTACTACAATATGCGGTCCTTGACATGCTCCTTTTCTTTTCCGAAGATGAAAACTCTAGCTCATATTCGTTTGAACTAAAATAGAGTGTTTAATGCCGGCTGTTTCAATATGTTAAGAAATATAATGATCGAAAATGTATAAATGTTTACCCTGAGCACTGAACCCACTGTAATCGTCGTCTCAAAATACATCTTGTTAAGAGCATTGCACCGGCATCGCAATGCGTACGGGTCCTTGTCCTTAATTAAGCGGGTTTTTTTCATTTTTTTTTAGTTGTTATATGTATACATGATTGAAAGTAGAAAGAATTTATCGTAGTAATCAAATTCGTTATTGGCATACGTATGTCTTACCTCTATTTGTTTTTTTCAATTTAAATTGTGCTTCTCTTGATACTCCAGTGTACCTTAGGTTCAACAATCAATACTAATATATATACGTTCCAATATAACCAGGGAGCATATATATATATATACATATATATGCATGCGTGCACATTATATCAATTAAATGATCTTCTTTATCAAACATTTTTATTTATCAAAAATTTCACGGTTGCAGAAAGCCATATGGATTTTATTTTTGAGTGGCAAATACAGCTGCCACGAACGAGAACATAAAACCATATCTTGTCGCGACCGCTTTATATTCTATTTCAACTGAACAGATAAATCTATATATCAGCGTTTGAAATCTTTCTGTAGCCTTATTGTTAGGAGAAAATGCTTTGAAATTGAGACCCCTCATATTGTATTTGTAAATCAATTTTTGTTATGTTTTTGCTTTGTTCTTGCCCGCCAGAGTTAATGATAGTTTTCAGTAGAGGTATTAATATAATTGATATTTTCAATAGAGCACCAAACATGTCCAAATATTTTTTATGAGGCAGCGTTTTTGCAAGTCAAAACTATACGAAAAATACATTACAAGCCTATTTTTGACTGGAGAATATATAATTTTGTATGCCTTTCGAATTCAGTTAATATTAATTAAAACATTTAGCCATCAACGAATGACTTGTGACCTCACGCAAACTATGCTCGTATATCAAATATTTATCCAAGATGTTCCGATAGCAACGATTTTAAGGCAAAATATTTCAAGAACCAAGACAGTGTGCTGTTGTACGAAGGCCAAGTAATAGTAATTTGCTCAACCGTTATTAAAAAGCAATAAACTAGCGATAGGAGTTTATGCATGCCTAATATTGTTTAATCTTTGGGTTATATCAAACTAAAGGGTTTTCTCCAACTAATTTAGAGTCAACATTAGAAAAACTATTGTCCGTTAGTTAGCGCTATCGTTAAAATATTACAATGTCATAAGGTTCTTTCGAGTGAGAAAATTGAAAAGTATATATGTTGCCATCATTTTTACCACTAATAACATCATTATAACCAATAATGTGTCAGTTGCTTCACCTTGGTCCAGGGTTCCTCGATCGAGGTAACTCTATTGAGTTCGGTGCTTGTGGTCTTATTGAAATTGGCCGATGGATGCAACGCCTAAATAGATGTTTGAAAGCTTCCTTGTATTTTCGGTCGAGAAAGGCGTAAATAATAGGATTGCACAGACTGTTGAACAGCGGGAGGATGCTGAAGACCATTCTAATTGTAAACATCCGATAGTTGTGGTGTATTGAACGGGAATTCGTGTAAAGAAGATTCGGAAAATGGTAGTGAAGTATGACCCAAATAATGTTGGGACCCCAACAAATTATGAATACACCCACAACGATCATCAACATTTTGATAACTTTCAGGTCTTCATAAAGCGCCGTTCTTTGGCTTCGAGTTTGGCCCAGTTCACCATTTCGCCGCATTTTTTGTCGCTTATGCGCCACGAGAAAAATTAGAACGTACATGACCGCTATGACTCCAGTGGGGACAAAGAACATGCCAATTATCATAAAGGTATAAAAAGATTTCGTTTGATCAAAGTCAGCCTCAGAGCAAGAACTTGCTCCAGAAAATAGGATTCCGATGCTTCCTGAACGTGGTGTGGCTGCGTAGCTGGCAATGCAAGATGAAATGAAAACAATAATGAAAATTAATTTCAGTGATGTGGAAGTTGTCATTCGGGTCATATACTGAAGTGGTTTGCTGATTTTGAGATATCGGTCAAAACTGATGAATGTTAGGGTGTAAATAGATGTTGTTAACGCAAAGGTATCAATCCACACAACAAAACGGCACAGATGGATTGACATCGTTCGTTGCCGTACACGGAGATCCAGTTTGTACGCCTTTATTGGTGCTAAAAACAAACCAACCAAAAGATCAGCGACAGCCAGACAAGCGATGAAATATTTATTTGGTTGATGAAGACTTCTTTCTCTCCATGTCGCAACCAAAACCAAAGTGTTTCCAAGAATTGTGAAGACGGCAATAAAAATAAGTATAATTTTTTCTGAATGTTCAAGTTGGTTCACGAATGTTTTTAACTTCATGAGATCGGCTTCGGTCCAATTTCCTTCCTGATTGGTCTGATTTTCAATCATTTTGTTGATCCTAGTTGATAAAACATGAAAGACCGCATCAGTCAAAGTTCGACACACCATAAAACAACGTTGGCCAGAGATTTATGCCCCTGCATAAATTAATGCAGGGGCATAAATGCGTCCAAATTAATTCATATAGGATTACATTCAGGGGTGTGCCTACGCTTTTGTTTCACGTCTTGTAAAGCAACGTTAGTAAAACTACTCGCTTCAAACCAGAATTTAAAACAACTTTATTCTATCTTTTTGTTCAAATCAGCAAGAAACTGACATTGAAATACAAGCGAAGACCGTAAAGAACAGTCAAATCTTGAACAGACAATGTCCCTCAAGATTTCGAAAATGCCTAATCTCCAATTTCCAAAGCTCTTGTGAATTTATAATCCACGTTAGCTAACAGCTGTTTCCAAGCGCGATAACATAGTTAAATTTTATCATATGCAAAAAGACAGATTTCAAACAAAAGCGGTGGCAAAAAAGCCGGTCTCGTGACATTTTAAAATCAATAGAAATCCACCCTAAAGATTTTTGTGCCTTTTGTAACAAATATGCCATCGGCTTATGATTTCGTACGCCCGGAAACGAGTAAATCTACATCGATACGGTTATGTGCACGATACCTGCAAGTATTTTTCAACTGTGGATTTTTCCTCTCTTCCTGATGCTTTTAAAATCCTATATAGGTAAAATAATCCTGGCCTGTCTTGATATTAATTTCTGCTCGAATGAACGTAGTCGAAACACTAGGTAAAGCTGTGCAATTCCATACAACCTTTTTATAATTAAATTTATGGAAAATAGGACCTTAAATCCTTGTCTGAGATGTTCCTTGAAGGAAAGATTTCCCTTTAGCATCACGCGTCTCTATATTCTTAAATGTATTCACTGAAATAAACGGAAACATTCAACGACATTGTTTAAATAAGCCTCAGCATTACCAATTTAAATCATTCTATGGCGTAACTGTGTTTGCATAGATTGAAAACATTGAAATTCGCATCTGGGACAGCTGAAAGAATGAAGCATTTTTCATATTGTATTTTCAAATACTTTTTACAACCTTTTCAGAGTCGTTTCTCTTCATATTTCTATCACTTTATTAGAAATATTATATGCAAAGTATAATTATATAACAAAACAAGGCAATAAAACATTCCTGGCTGATCATTTTCAAAATGTTACACCTAATAATACAGGTAACATCTTACTTAGTCCAATTAATCCATGTGTCAAATCTCATCAGTGGAAACAGCTTATAAGAAAACAAAGAATGAATATTTAATGACATAGTAAGTAAATATCGCCAATCAAGCCGCCATATTCATTATATCTTACATTCTTATTTACGAATGTAATCTCTGACAGGTAATACTTGAACTTATGAAACCGGTGAACTTAGACCTTTATTTTAAACCTTAATTTTTTATTCAAACATGAATACATTATCAATGTCGTTTCCAGATACATATAATTATTATAATTGTGGAAAAACAGCAACAATGATAGTTTGTTGAAATATAATTGAATACATTTTTTTCCTCCAAGAAATTTAATGTATATTATGTTATTTACCGGCTGCGATGTCCGGGTGAAAAAAAAACGGACCGAGGTCATAAAACTATCTTTATGGGGAGCACTATATTGTCTATTTATGCCTAGTTTCTATTAACTCTTAATCGTCATAAACACGTAATTTGCACCGATGAGAAATATCTGAATGTAAATTTGTCATCATTTCTGTATTTAAATCGGTCATTGTTGACTGCACACTATAATCGAAATATTCTATTATATCAGTCAGAGGTTCAGACACTCACGATGAAATGGAAACCAAACATTAGTTCCTCAGCAAGATTTGTTTTTGCATCAAGTTATTTCATCCATTTCTCTCGCGACGTAACTCGGCTACCTGTTGTCGTCTTCTTTTCCCTGATCGACACATAATTCGGCGAGACAGACGTCTGAAAGCTTCTCTGTACGTTTGGTCCAGCCAGGCATATATTATCGGATTGCACAGGCTGTTCAACAATGGAAGTATGTTTGCTACGAACGAGATTATGATGATTGTTGACTCGTCACCTCTGTCAAACAGGTTTGGTTGGAAGAAATATAATAACACCAATATAAACCAAGGTCCCCAGCAAAATATAAACACTCCCATAACGAACAACAGCATTCTTATCAGTTTCATGTCTTGTTGAAGAACAGTACTAGTACGTTGGCTCTGATCATTTAAAGCTCGACCCAGCTCTCCGTTCCGCAGCCTTTTTTGTCGTTTGTGAGCAACAAGAAAGATATGAACGTACATGATCAGTATGCCTGTGGTCGGCAGGAAAAATGCGCTTATGGACAAGAAAGTGTAGAATCGTTGAACGGTTTCAGGATCGGCTTCAGAGCATGCACCGGTCCCGGAAAATAAAATTCCCCCGCTTCCCGAATGAGGAATGGCGGAATAAGTGGCGAAGGAAGCTGAAATCAAAACAATAATAAAAATTATTTTCAACGATGTGGAAGTTGTCATTCGCGATTTGTAATGAAGTGGTTTGCTGATTTTGAGATATCGGTCAAAACTGATGAATGTCAGGGTGTAAATTGACGTCGTTAACGCAAAGGTATCAATCCACACCATGAAACGACACAAATGAACAGAGTTCCGTGATTCTTTCGCATAGAGTTCAGAGAACGTCAATGGTGCTATAAATAAACCGGCCAAGAGATCAGCGACAGCGAGATAAGCAATGAAATATTTATTCGGTTGATGAAGGCTTCTCTCTTTCCAGGTCGCGACCAAAACCAAAGAGTTCCCCAGAATGGTAAAGATGGCGATAAAAATATATAAAATTTGACCGGTTAATTGTATTAGTTCCTCTAATTCAGCAACCTTCGTCGAATTCTCCATTTCTGATCATATATCATGGTAGAAATACCCCCCAGTCTCGTGAATCTGAAATATGAAACAAGTATAGGATATACAGTTAAACAAAGTCAAATAAGCCATATTTAGTTAAGGCATTAAGTGGTGATTGAGGAACTTCCTAAAGTGGTGTGATAAATGGAGGGTGCATATTCAAATATTTGCGCTGCCTGACAGTGTTGTAAGTTCTTGCGCTTACGGCTTACCAAAGAAAAGAAGCCCGTCAAAAAGAAAAAATATATATGAATATGCAATATAAATACCGCATCTACTTCCAGGGTTGTTTTTAAATATACACGTCCTGACGTTTCGAAATATAAGGCCTCTATTCGGGAACCTATATTCGTAGAATCTCTTGTCATACAGCCACATAACGTTCTTGCAAAAGTCCTTACCTTAGGTCGAAACGCTGAGAGGTTTTATATTGGCACTATAGGCAGTTTTGTTGCCACATTCGCTAAGCAGTATTCGAATTAAGACGCCGCCACACCATATAGCTGCTCCTTCGTGATTTTGGAACGGCGGATGTAGAGTTGCAATTTATAATTCAGCGTTAAGCCTGCTGATTCATCTATATATCTTTTATTATTTTCTAGTGACAATCTATTTAGCTGAGATTAAAATAATCGCCACCTGCATGTGATGTAGATTTTAATAATTCCTCCAATTTTACTACTGTCTCATTCCTTTTCCATGTCGGAGTTATTTTTTGTTTAATTTAAATTTTCATCTACTTTTATTAGCTATACTTTTAATTGATATTCCATGTGTATAGCTATATTATAGATTTTATAATTCTTTCCATTTTATATTTTCCGGCTGCATCGATTTTCTCAGTACGATCTCAATCTAAATTGATAAGTTCCATGCAGACCTTTATAAAATATCTGTACTCTGACGTATTTGCGTTGTTCCTGATCAGACAACGTGAGTGCATTCAGCAAAACAGCATCGATCATAACCAAGGTAAAGGTCTATGGAAATTGAGTGGCAATTTCACGCTGAAATATTTTGGTAATTTAAAGGGTTTTTGCCACTCGCGAACATAGAATCCATATCTTCGAGCCAAATGTGTATTGTTCTGTTTATTATATCGACTAAATTATGAGTGACAAAAATACACGCAAAGACGACCTCGAAGACGACAAGTCTATAAGCCGCGAAAGACCATTATAAAAGCAAAAATTTTTTTACATTATAGCCTAAACATTAAAGAAGAATAAATTTTACTTATCTAAAGTGTTTTCGTTTGTATTTCCAACGTTAATTTCGTTTTATATGCGAACCAAAGACAATTTGTATTTTCACAACAACAATGAAAATGGCGGGAAAATTTTGAAACACGTGACATACGGAAAATACGAGCACCGAACCCCGGATGTAATGGCGTGTGAGTTCTACGAGTGTTTTAGTTCTCAGGAAAATACCCCTGTTCATATAATAAATTTGTGTAATGCATGCAGTGCACTCCATGTGAACTGTAATGATAACTCGCTCGCCATTTGAAGCAGAATTTGACGACTAGTGCTAGTGAACTGTACTGCATAATACAACTGGAACGATAAATCCAAAAATGCAGCCAAGCCTCTAAACTACTTTGATTGGATGAAGCCGATTTGAAACTTATTTCAATACTATATATACCGAATACTGCATACCGAATACTTTTTCTGAATGTGCAATTTAAATTATGTTAAACAGAGATCTTCCCGCCCATAATTCATAGGATTAATAATATATGAAAGGTTTTCTTTTCAAATATGAATTTGAAGGAGTTAATTTTAGCTTGTTTGGCGTCACGTTGGCGTTACACTCCTTATTGCCAATTGCATGCATGTAGATAACAAATGATTTTTATCGCGATGACAAATGATTAGCCACTGATCTATCTAAAAGCCTGTAGTGTTCCTATATTTATTTTATTCAAATTTTAAAGCGCCTGGGAACGAGGCTGGCAAAATGTCGCAACATTCTGGCGGACTAACCCCATTAGATGAGTAGATGAGCTTGGCTGAACACATTTTGAAAAGAAAGCGATTGCAAAAAAAACGATCGCGCGACATTTTGCACTGAATGGAAATGCACC